GTTTCATAACGTATATGTATACGAGATGGACTTCAAATATAAAGTCATACGGCGATCTTGCAGATTTTTACATATTACTATAATAAAAAGGCAGATAATTTTATATTGAACGAAATCATTTTTACAATTTCAATTATATTTACACTTTTTAGAAAAAAGTTTGACAAATACAGGGAAACAGGAATGAAGTTTTTCATTAGGTAACACGTAAGTAATAATAAAAATTAATCGATATGTTGAATGTTCACCTGAGAGATGTATAAATACATATTAAATGCAACATTATTTTATATCTGACTGATAAAATATTTTTAACGAATCTGAAATATGAGTCACGAATTTAATTTTTTTTCATTAAATTAATACTTAATGTTCACATTTAATGTTTTACTGAAACCATGATATTTAGCTGTATCTTCTTCAAAACCTTTTATCTTTGTCATATCTTATTTGAAATTATATCACATTTAATAATCAAAAAATACATGAGTTTACTAGAGTTTAGTATCAAACAGCTAGTAAATCTTTTAAAGTACTTTTTACAATTACATAACAAATTATAAAACTGTTGCGCAAGTCTAACTAAAGTAAAGAACGTTTTTTTTTAAGTATAAAAAACGCTTGATTGCTCGTTAAAAATTTTGTAGCCTATATTTGTGTGTATGACTTTCTTTATGATTCATAGGAGCCTAATTTCTTTAGTACACTAAGACCCTTCTCTTCATACTCCTCCCGTGTTATCCATACGGAATCTCGATCTTTCGTTATTTCTGCTAGTACAGCACCACCCATGAAAACCATGTCTTTACGTCGAGGTGAGTCTTCAATTTTTATCTTAAATTTCTATAAAAATATTTACGTAGCATAAGCATCTGTAGTACATATACACACACACAGTCTCTCTCTCTCTCTCTCTCTCTCTCTCTCTCTCTCTCTCTCTCTCTCTCTCTCTCTCTGAGTATTGTTAATCATATGACATACTTACATTTAATTTAGTGGTATCATTCTTTAATACTCTTTGAAGATAAAGTTGTTTAATTTCTCGTTCAAGCCTCGATGGAAGCCCTGGATACATTGTACTACCTCCGCTTAAAACGATGTGCTTATACAATTCGCTTCTGATATCGATATCAGCTGCTTGAATTGTGCTAAATACCAGCTCGGCTATTCCTTGCGCTTCGACGTTAATCAAATGAGGCTGAAAAAGCGCTTCTGGTGCTGCAAATCTTTCACCACCTACTTTGATAACACGACCATCAGGAAGCTGAAAATGTTATATAAAAATAAAATAATTTGCACAACTTAATTTAAGTTTCGTTTTAAATATTAATAAAATTATATTACATATTTTACTTACAGTATAGGATTCCACCAATACAGTGGTTTCAAGAGCCAACTTCTCTTCCGTTTCTATGTTGTAACCGATGTAACATAGTTTCTCCTTCAACATTCGAACAGTTTCAAAATCAGCCGAATGATTGAAAGCATAACCACGCAGTAGTAGCAATTTAATTAGATACATTGTAATATCGCGTCCGGCTATATCTAACCGTCTGGTCAAATGTGGCAAAGCATACTCTTCGAATACGGGACAAATGTGCGTAACACCATCACCGGAATCTACAACGACACCGCTGATCAATCCTTGAGCGTATAATGTCAGTACTGCCTGAATCGCAATGTACGTCCCAGCGAAACCGTACTTCTCAAACATCACCTGCAATAATATTAATTCATTAAGATTTCTATTCGTATAACTTTAACTTTCTTTGGATTACACAATGTTACCTCTATCATCTTTTCTCTATTCGTGATAGGATTCATTGGTGGCTCAGTTAACAGAATTTTACATTCTTTAGGGTTAATATTCATTTTCTCCTTGCCAAAGGTGTAATCCCACACGTGACACATGTCTTCCCAGTTTCTGTTAATTATAGTACAACTATGAGATTCATCAAACAAAAAATATCTGATCTCAGATATAAACATACCTAACAATCCCATTTTGCATTGGATAACTTATTTCTAACATAGAACGAAGTTTACTTGCTTCATCGCCAACCATTAAGTCCTGCGAGATAATAATATGATTATCAAACCTCTATATCATTAACATATATTATGTTGATTTCATTATGACGTGCGATATTACTATTTTTATATATTTATAGTAAATATATTTGTAGTATAAAAATTCTAAATATTTAAATAGCTATGTAAATATTCAAAAAGTATATAACAAAACTTTTTATTACGTGTGATAAAAAGAAAATTGAAATAATTCCTGGTATATGAAATTTGGTATATTAGATTAGATATCAGATAAATATTTATGATATCATCCTTTTGTATACTAAGATTATATAATATACTAAGAATATATAATTGGCACAGAAATCATAACATAATATGTTACTTCTGTGAGACTCAGATTATGGAATTTGTATCAGGAAAATATTCTGTGTTAAATCAGTTCCGAAATGTGTATACCTAAGCACTTTGGAAAAAGTTTGCTGGATTATGATACTACTCCCATACCTACAGTCGAAAAAAAAATTCTTCTTCATTAAAACACTGATGTATATATAGCATCAAAAAAGTACAATAAACTTACAGGCATGTTAAGCACATCCTACGAGAGCAAATGTAAGCACACAAATATATTAGATAATTATAGGAAGAGTATAGCATGTACGTAAGTACCAACACAATTGCAGGTAAACGACATTATTCTTAAGAAACATATTAGTAGACACATCTTGTTTTGTTAAAACAGACATTTATGTCGATAAAAAATTTGTAAGATCTCTCGCAAGAAAAACATTGTATCCAATACAATGAACACATTTATTAAGTACAATATAAAATCACTCACTTAACGATAATATTATAGCTCCAAGAAATTGTTAATAAATTTATTGAATAATTAAATGAATAATGTTCATCTTACATTTCAAATACATATTCCCTTTCGGTTAGTAAACGTCATTAGCCTCTCAAATTGTGACTTTTATTTACATCAGTGGAGACAAGCACATAGATTATTTTCAGTCGGACTTAAGCGCTAGGGGGGCAGGGAGAGCACACGATGTAATACTATATAATAGACTTACACGAATGCAATATTCTTGCTGAAAATACAATTGTTCTTATTAATCGTCTAAATACTGATAAACACGCTCAAGCAATTTAAAGCTTAAAATATCATAGACTTTATATATAACTTGAACAATACACAAAAAATTACATCTCTTAGAGCTTTTTTTTCGTAAATATAAATTTCTCTATATCTTTCATACAATTCCATAAATTGATTACAGTCGAAATCGAGATTTGCTTTACATTTATAAATGTAATTGTTTTATCATTTGCTTTACGTATGTTAACTTTTATGATAAATTAAACGATTAAGTATCAATGGATTGATAATAATCAATATCAGTAAATCGAACATCAACTATCAGGGCGCTTGTATAGAGATAAAATAAAAATGCAGCTACTGGCCCCGTATGTCCTTACATACAAGCTCGCATGCGAGCCTGAAGCAACAAACATAAGTATCTACATACCTTAACGTCGATATCGCCTATTTTGTTGACAGCTCTGATTATTGGTCGTCCGACTATAGACGGGAATATGTGGGCCGGAAAGTTTGCGCCGGCATATCCGCACTTGACAAACTGCAATGAAAAACTGCATCGGTACCGAAATAAGAGTATCCGACCGATTTTGAAGCGCGTGTCTAATTCAGTGCATCCTCTCTTAATTAAGATATTAAGAATGAGGCCCTTGCACGAGGGAAATGAGCCTTACCCCGGTACCATTGTCACAAACGATGATTTTCCTTCCCTTGCTGTCCATTTCGATCTCGAAGAGTTACGTATCCCGTATCTCGCCAAAAGAATATTTCTCTATCTGTCACAATCCTTTAGACAGTTCTCATATCGCCAGCTCCATCGAGTGACTAATACCTGCGGATGTTTACAGGGCGTTACCGGTGCGTAACACCAAAGTGACAGACGTTACTCTCGACTGGAGTTACCGTTTTGTATCACAGTCAAGAATTTGCGCGAAGGGTAGCGAAATCCAATGTAAAAAAAAAGAAAGGGAGGGGAAAAAAGGGTAAATAATCAACGTCCTCGGACGTGAATTTACTCAGCACACACGATGAACGACGGCGGCCGGACGAGCAGATCCGAGCAGAACCGAGTAAACTCAAACCGCAAGCTTCCATCGTTATGAGAGACAAAAAAAGACCTCCCTCGACTCAAGCAAATCCATCAATCACAATCGAGAACACGAGAACTAGCTGAGAGAGAGCTAATAGCTAGGCCGCCGTTTCGTGGCTCTCGACTGTGATTGGTCGACGAGCTTGCTGCTCATTATGCCGAGCCAATGACACGCGAGTTTGCGTTAAAAGTCGCATGCGGTCAACTTTAGGTCTATTTCTTATAAATGCGAAATTTTTTTCACATTTGAAATGATACATATATATAATTAGATAATTATATATAAACATTAGAGAAAAAGAAGAAAAATTAAAACTTTCAAAAATTCAAAACTAATTTGATAAGTTTGTTTTCTAAAATATTTGTATCTTTAATTTTTTTTTCCTTTTCCAACATCTAATCATATTCTTATGCTCATATAGTCGGACCTAGTAAAGTACTTTGTACTTGAGGCTTCCTTAAATTTATCTTTAGATGCTCAGTAACCAATGAAATAATTCGAAAATTTAAATCTGAAGATAAATTTAAGGAAGCTTTAAATATAAGGCTTGACTATTAGCGTTTTCGACCCGATCGGGTTTGTATCAACTTGAGTTAGAAAATGCTTCGCTATTGTTGACGTTACACAGTCTATCAATAGGAGAGCACGAAACGTTATATGAATACGGGCATTAATTTTAGATGCCAGAAGTCTATTTACTGTGGCTGAACTAGTATACACTTTTGGAACTTGAAATGAGATATGTTTGATATTTGTCGAAAGTGAGAAAGAGAATACTAGTGCAGTCTAGTACAGGAACAGAAAACAGATCAGAACTGCTGGAAGTTCAATACGGTGCAGCTACAAAAACTCTCAAATGCTATGAAATGCTCTGAATTTCTACAGAGTGCGGACTGCAAATTAAGTTAGATTAAGTTAGGTTAGATTCAAGGCACTTCCACGTGAAACTGGCGTGTCAGGCATCTACGTAATAGACTCGTGCGTCTACAGGTGGATACATTTTAACAGGTTCGATTTTTTTTTAACGTAATTCGAATATTTACGAATGTAGAAGATTGGATAATCCCATAAGGATGTAAGTGGAAGAGGAAAATTTCTGTTCATGTGAGTGAAATATTAAACATAATATTGGAGCACAAACGATGATTCTAATCATTAATCGCGACACATAATCTTTTTTTACATTAATTGGAAGTATAATCTATACAATTGCAAATACATACAATCGTAAATCTTTAATTTTAAAAAATTTCTGATGAGTGATAAAAATCATCTTTTTATACATAAACGTATCGATGTATGTGTATTCCACAATAAAATATTATAAGTCTCAAAATGAAATCGAATATAATTGTGTATAAGGAATCTGTTTTGAGCATTATCAGCATTTTGACAGCTTCGTCAAAAGTATCAAATACAATCCATACTGTTAAAAATGTTCTTAAATTTCATTAACTTTTAATCAAGTTACACAATTTGAACTTAATTTCAGACATTACATTAAATTTGATGTATTTATATTACTAAACTATTTATATTATAAACTATTTATATTACTAACATTTTTAGTGTACTAAAAAGTACACTAAAAATTTTATGACATTTAATATACTTTTAAGTTACACAATTTGAAATTAATTTCATGACATTACATTAAATTTAATGTATTTAGTGTACATAACTAAAAAGTATATTTGTGTACATGTAATATAATACATAAAATTTTATGTATTTTTCATGAAAATTTATGAAATTTAATGTATTTTTCATAAAATTGTATTAAAAGTAAATTTAATAAATTTAATGTACACGTTCATTACATTTAACTAATTACCGTAACTTAATTTTCAGTTAAATCATTCATTACTTTTAATTTTGTTCATAATTACGAGCTTTATTTACATGTAAAGAAAGCTCGTGGTTACATTTCAAACAGTGTACATAAAATTTACTATATTTTTCATGAAAATTTATGAAAATTTAATGTACATTTACATTTAAGTAATTACTGTAACTTAATTTTCAGTTAAAGCATTCATTACTTTAATTTCGTTCATAACCACGAGCTTCGTTTACACGTAAAGGAAGCTCGTGGTTACATTTCTAACAGTGCATACTGCACAGAAGCTTGCTATAATATTGTTGGAACGTTGCAATGTTGCTACAATATTGCTGGAATGAAATTCGTGCTGTATAGGATAATCAATAAAATTTCTAAATCATGGTTGCAATTTGCTTACTTACGGTAAATTGATAATAAATTTCATTCAAATTGATCGCGTCATAGCATAATTCATTTAAGGATTTTATGCCTTCGCACGTCAACATATTTATAACGCCTGGAGGTATCCCAGATGACAAAAACAGATTGCAATACTGTATTATATTGCACGAGTTTGCGGTACATATCACAACGACGGAATTGCCGATTATTAAACTCTGTGTCAATTTGCGAAACAAATTTTTTTCTTTCTTCTCCATAAGTGTGATGACACCTTTCGGTTTACGGATTCTTACCACCAAGGATCGTCCACTTTGAGGCTGCAATGAATTCTTATACCAGTGTGGAAATTTTATCCATTTGAATACTATTTCCGACAATTCGGATTTACTAAAAAAAAAAAAGAAAAGAAAAAAAAGCAAAAGATAAAATAAAGTATGCACAAGAGATACAGTAATTTTATTAATTTGAGATACCTAATGTATTCCAATAAAAATGCAAACTTGGATAATATTTGCATTCTAGATTCAGTGGACAGCTCATTCCAGATTTCGAATCCTTTTTTAGCTGATACAAAACATTTACTCATATCATCTCTAGAATAATATAGAAATTGAAAATTTGTTAGAAATCATTATTAAATTTCTTAAATTTAACATTTATATCATTGATTGAAATTAGGCAAGATATATACTTTGTTGCATTCGCTCTTAGTATATTAGTGTTATTATGTAACCAATAAGTATTTTGTACAGGCTTTTGCCATGTACCATCATAAAACATGTAATTATAAATCGGATTTACGGGTACAGGCTTTTTTTTCGAACATATTGGCTTTATCATGTTTATTATATAATGTTCTTCATTAATATAATGTTCTTCATTAAAATTGAGATTACACAGTAGAATCTTGAACATTTCTATATAAGGCATAACTATCATCGTCTCATTGAAATCCAGCGTATTTATGAGAACAATATTTCTCTGTTAAAAAGAAAAATCATTAATGAAATAGTTTGAAAACAATTTAATAATACTGTGCTATATAATTTAAATATGCATACATCTAAGGATGTTGCTAAATTTTTTGCAGCCGCAATATCTTCAGACCATATGGATGTTACGTTTATTTTATAAGATATAGGAGGTGTAAGTAATTCTTGCTTAGATTTAAATATACGAATAACATCAGTGAAATAGCTAAAAGTTTTATTCATAAGTGACAAAAAATTGCATTTTATTGATTCTGATACCCATATTTTACTTAAGTTTCGAGAGTTTTCTGATATTATTAAATATTTAATAACTGCATATAAATCCGAATCGTCTAGGAGTATTATTTCAATGGTCTGATCTATACATAAAATTTAAAACAATTTTAATAAAAGTGAAAACATATTTTTTAATTAAATTTTAAATCTGTTTCTCTTACATGAAAGTAGCTTTTTATACTTCTTATATAGATCATTATCTGCCAATGAATTTGTGCTAAAATATAAAATAATATCAAACTATTTCGAAAGTCTTGAGATACATTTTTTAATTCATTCAATTTTTAAAATAAAATATAAAGCATAGAACAAGAGAAAAATTGTTAATTATATTAGAGCTATTTTCGCAATAAAATTTATAAAATAATGTGTAAAGACTTTTGAAATGCTTTCTCTATAACTAAAACGTGTAATAATATTCACAATAATTTTAACACAAAAAGAAAATATCGATATATATATAAAAATATATATCGATTAATATATTAAATAAGTATATAATAATAATAATAGAATAAATTTCAATTAGATAATTACATGATACAAGTTTCCAAAAAATATTGTACATCATCTCTTGCGCAAAAATTAAGAAGTGTCAGAATTAACGTCCAAATAATTTCTTGTTTAGTCTTTTCTAAAAAAAAAAAACAACAAAATTAAGAATCAAATACAATCTGTTCTTATTTATAAACGAAATAAAATGTTAAGAAATGAGTATTAATGAAATATTTTTACAATTACAGGTACAATATTACCTACTATAATACCATTAGATTTATGCATGTTTATCCTGTAATAATTTATATATGTTACAATAGCTTCAGGTACATCTGCGTGATTACAAATAGATTTGAAAAGAGGCATATGATTCTCTAACATTAGTACTGTCTTTTCGAGTCTACAATTGTAAAAAGCAATTAAAGATGACAAGAACAAAGACAGATGACTTTTATTTTTAGCTGTAATTTTTGTCTTATCGCTAGCGATAAGATTAAATGCCAATTTAATGTTTTTACCTATCCACAAAAGTTTCATGCTTTAATTTTATCTCCTTGCACATAGCATATATTTCCATTGATGCTTTCTAAAAATGAATGTAAAGAGATACAGCATTATAACAAGTGTTTGAACAGATTATTTTTTCTTATTTTTTCTTATTTTATCAAGAATGATAACATCTTTTTCTTTGGCCAAAAAAATTTTCATTTTCAACGGCAAATTTTGCGATCTATTGGCAATCTGTTTGTATATATGTAAGATCTAAATACTTACATTTTTTTTACTTTTCAATTCTTCATAGTCTAGATTGATGTAATATTTTTCTATATCCTGTAGGTCCATGCTGTCAGCAACAAGAAAATCTATTAGAACAATTAAAAAGATGTGTCTTCACGATTGAACTGCGTAGCAATTGTAGCAATAATAAACGAAAACAACCATGCTCGCAGAAGAAAATATTTTGCTTTCAAAATCGAACATTAGATCGACATCAAAGATCTATTTGTAAATATCGTTCCATATCAAAATTTGAAAGAAACATTGCAACTTTACTAACCTCGTCATCGAAGGATGTAAATAATATTTTTTATCGACGTTTTCTCCAATACTGTATATAATATCAGGATTATGATAAATTTCGACTCTGCCAATTTAATACCGATTTTATAAATATCTTACATTTAGTTTAATGTTTAATTAAGCATAAAAGTAGCATAAGCGTTCTTAGCATTTTCTGCGATTTTTTACAAGAAATGTACATATATCTGAAACT